GCTACTTTATAACATTATATTGATTTTTTTTTTCCTTTTTTTTTAAATATAGTTCATATTATTTCTTGAATAGTTTATGGGTTTGTTTTCCATAGCAGAATTATGGACATCACACCCCTCTGTATAGTTCTCTCCCTTAAAGGATTTTTAGCTACCAAAGAGGATGCAGTTATGAAGACACCCTCGCCAGCTTGAGGCTCTTTTAAGAAATGTTAGACAAGGACTGGAAAGGGATCTGACAACCGCTAAAGTTAACGTCTTTCAGTCTTTCCAAAACAGTGTTGGCGTCTTTAGGCTGCATGCTGCTAAAGACTTTATTGCACTTCCAGGTCATTGATAAACCACAGTGCTATTCGTGTACTAAAAGGTAAAAAATAAATAAATACAGATATATTATGCAAAAAACATGATTGTACACATAATACATCTGAGGTATTACCAATTTAAATAAGGTTTCATGCTAGTTCAAGCTTCGGTGGCTATTTCATTCTGGAATTTGCAATAAATAGATGAAATATGATTATGTTTCTAGTGTATGGATTTTCTTCTGTAAACCTTGTCTGATTTAAACATAAGAGCATGTTGGGCTCACCCTTATGCAAATCCTTTTTCACAACAGAGATTCAAAAGTTGTTTCAAAAAGTTTCTGCGACACTGAAAAGTTTCTAGAAGGGGCTGTGTTATGACTAACAACGTTAACAAAGAGTATGTCTCAATCTTTTTTTTGGTTTTGGGGGTTTTTTTGTACAAAGCACAGGTAAATTGATACTCAAAGAAAGTCTTCTAATGTGTTTTCCCAAACCATGAAAGTTTTTAAATTTTGCACAAACAGCAAGAGAACTGATTGTAGCTGCAGTATTTCAAAATGTCCATGTTCTAGAGACTAAAAAAAACAACACCAATTTGTCGGCTGAGAAAGTCTTTTGCAGTACGTTCCTCCTTCAGTGAAAGTTTGCCATCACACAGTTCTTCATTACAGTTTTAATGTTCAGCTGGCCAAAGCTGGCCTTTTTTAAACTTTCACCGTTTCCATTAGAGATGACTTAATGGCATCTTCTAAAAGCTGATTGTCTGTGAAAGGGGCCGGGGTTTCTGGGACAGATTCAGACAAGCCAATGAGAGACTCCAGGAAGCAAGAGCTCTGGTCTCCAGCCTGGGGGAAGCCGGGAAAATTAGGCAGTTGGAATTGCAAGGCTGAAAAGTTATCCAGGTTCTCGTATTCCTTTAAGGAGTTGTAAAGAGGTCCCAAATTATAGTCTGAGAATGACTGAAAGAAATCCAAGGAGTCAGAGGAAAGGCTGAGATCTGTGTAGCTCTTTGAACACTGCTCTGCTGGGGATGACATGCAGCAAGAAAGCCCGTCACAGTGCGTATCGGCAGTGTCCTCTAGAAAACAACTAGCGTCCTGATTGGCGTTTTCATCCAGGCATTCGGAGATGTTTGACAAATGGCTAGAGTAGTTTCCAGTGCCGAGTTTTTCAGCATTTGCGTCACACTGGTCTTCAATGTTAGCGCTAAAGAAATCAGTGGGGTGGAAACAGCTCAGATTATCTTGGCAATGATTACTGTTTTCTTCTACATCGGAATCATTGAAGTGGAGTATCCTCGCCAAGCCGTCGTCGTCGACGTCAGACTGTGACTTATCAGATGGGACGCTCTCGTACTGCTCTTCCGAATCCTCGCTCTGGTTGGAGGAGACGGAGGAGTCCGTCATGTCGCTGCTGCAGCTGTTCTCCCCAACCGTCTCCAGGTCCATGTTGAATTGAAATGCTGGTGTCAATGGGATGGCTCGCTCCTCGAACACCGTCTTCCCTACCGAACACCCCAACTGATGAAGCCTGTCCCGGAACGTCGCCTCGGGCTCCACGGTCTTTTCACTATTCTGCTGTTTCTTTTCCAGTTCCAGTTTCATGATGGTGTGGATGAAGTGCGTCTGCACCCGTGCCTGATTGAACTCTATTCTCCCTTGCGTGTTTCCGCAGCCGTCCTTTGTGCAGCCGCAAGGGAACGACGTGTGATCCATCTGGTGGGGAAAGGAGATGCCACGTGTTAGGCCAAGGAGATTTACTGGTGCTTTCAGCAGAAGCATTACTATACACAATGCACAGAAATGCCAGCTTTTGCAAAAGTCACCACAAGGAGTGAAAACAACCCTAACACTAATAATGCGTGAGAAGCTATATTGAAATTGCTTTTTGCCAGTGACGTTGAAAAACCAGCTTCACAGCAAAACATGAGTTTCAAAAGTTACACAGTGACTTATCTTTTATGCCTGTAACCAGAGCCATCCCAAGTCCCTACCCTGAGCTAGAAGAGTGACTGCTCTACTTGGCACCCGCTGTAGACTCGTACTCTCCTAGGTCTGGCCAGGGGCAGAGGAATGTGTGACGCACACTGGACACAACAAACACACTTCCATCCCCACAGCCGTGGCAGCGAGTGAATGAACATACCCCTGTCCAACTAAGTGCAGCCCCCCCGGCCATATTTAAAACCAGAATGCACCTAAAAAAAAAATGGAAAAAACAAACATGGATGCCTACAACAGATGCATCTCAGACTGAGATACAGGGCAACAAAATCGGAGTTGTCTACATCTAACCCAGCCTCATCCTATCAGCAAGGCCAGTAAGGGAGGTGGATTTTGAGGGCTGTGTCAAGCGACCCACTACCACGTGCAGCAGCACTGAAGAGCCTAGCTTGACCTCACTTGAGTTGTCACAAACTAAGTGGGGGGGACTTGAGGGGACACGAGACCTGGCATGAAACCTAAAAGCAGTGCGTTTATTTGCAGGCATGGGCCTACACTGCAGCCTTCCAGTCTACCTTCTCCTGTTTTCATGAGTGAAGGGCTCATTAAACAAACAGTAGCCTTGTTTGAAACTGTTCAGAGTGCAAAATCCTAGTGCATTTCCCTGAAGGTGAAAAGTTTGCAGGAACATGCAAAAGACGGAGGCACTGGGAAGTGCTAAGAAGTGCAGCACCCATAGCCCATTCCAAGGGGGCTGTCAAAAACCCACACCGGTATCATCTTTAAGGTACGTTGCAACTTGGCACTTCAGATAGTGTCCTTTAATGGAAACTGCTTTTTGAATGCAAGTTAGAACTAACATATTTTACAACCTGGCAATGGCAGCATGAGAATCTGTTCAAACATGCCAACTCCAAACTAGCTAGCCTTCCACTCTCCAATCGTGTATGCTGAAAGCTGAGAGGCCCCTGCTTCTCCTTCTGCTTAGGGCTAGGTTTGTGACCCTCACTTGTGCGTAGTTCCAATCCATGCAAAGGACCTTCTAATATTAAGTTTCGCCCTCGTTTCATTCCCAGCCTCGCCCACTTACACCCCGTGCTGCTGAAACACACCACGCGCAGCCGAGCGAACTGCACGTACCTGACATTTAATGCCTGCTAAGCTACAGCTGCAGGTCTCTGGATCGCAGAACTCCTGGCAGTCACAGCCACAGTCCTCACGTGACAGGCGGATGTTATGCAGCTCCCGTTTCTCCTCTTTGTCAATCTTCTTGACCCCCATGGCTTTGAGCAGAACACGCCTCTTTTTGGCAGGGTAGGGCTGGAGGAAAAAGCCATCCTCCAGGTCCACGTTGCTCACGTCGATGTCGTCGTCAGAGATGTCCTCAACGGTGAGCTGGTTGGCCTCCTCAGATTCTTTCGTGCCGTTCATGGTTAGCTGCGCGCAAGAAGGGAGGAAAGCAGGGTCAGGCGCTGCACACAGTAGACACTAATGCCGAGTTGGTCAGGAGGCAGCCCTCTAACCATGCACACACAGGATTAAGCCAAGGGAAAAGACACCCCCCTCTCTATGACTGCATCTCACCATTTCTTAAAAGGGCCACAAAGAGGAATCACAGAAGTACGCTCACTCAGTGAGCCCTACCCTGTGGAGCAGGGGTAGATTAGAGGAAGGGAAGGAGCCGGCTCTTACCCTGCCCCTGGAACACAGCAGCTTTTGAGATGCTGCAGCAGACAGCTGCTAAATGCTCCCGAATAGAGGAAGGGGGAACTCTGAGCAGACACCTGGGCCCACCATCACTGCTCCCCATAAGAGCCCCATGAAGGCCACAGAGCAGAGTTATTAAATGGATGAAATTCAGTGTCTGTTCTCTATTGTTCAAGGCTGGAGAGCTGACCAGAGCTGGACTAGAACTTGTGCTTCTAGGGAAAGTCACTTTATGTTACAACCAATATTAAGGCTTCCAAGATGCCCCTAAGTAGAAGAGCTGCCGTGAACTACTAAGTTCACAAGCTAGCAGTGGTACTCACTTTCCATTTCAGTGCCTCCAATTTCTCCTCTTTTAATCGCTCTTCGATCTTCTCCCGCCGGACGGTCTCCTGTTCCTTTGAGAATTCGGCCAGGGTGAACTGCCTGGACGAGCTGTGTTTGCTCACCATCCCCAGGGTACAGCCACCACGGCTAGGCACACTGGTGAACCCCTGGCAGCGTGGAAAGTAGAACACAGTGACCCGGTCGAAATCCACATTGCTCTTCTTTAACCGCTTGGTTTTCTTCAGGATGGATGTTGCTAAAACAGAAGTGACAAGGCACATGAAATCGAAATTCCTGTCTTATGAACAGATGTGCATAAATGTCATCAGGTGCAAAACAGCACAGGAGTTTCAGTTACTCTATACAAATCAGCAGCATGGTGTTTGGTCAGCCTATCTGTAGATTGTTTCTTGCATGTTAAGAAGTCATTTATTTCAAAGACCGAGCAAGAAATCCTAGCCAGAACCATCCCTCAGGTTCAGTCTAAGAGGCAACTACTCTTTCTCCTTCCCATACCAATTTCCTTTAACATCCTCTCAAACACAGCAGAGCATAACACACAACATGTTCCACACACGTGTGTTATTTTATACATCCTCAGGACCCACGTGCATGTTGCCAGGGCCACAACGTTGAGGAAACTCTACACTTACACCTCGGATGCTGTTATGCAGATGCCCAAATGGCTTGTTGCTGAAGCTTATGAGGCAGAGCATAAAATAACAGAACTGCTGTTTTTTATGGTACTTCCTTTTACCATCCACTGGGAGGAACTATGAATCTACAGTTTATTCTCAGGAGACTAATTTGAGAGCAGCTGCAAAGATGGTAATCTTCAGGCAGGTGATCCCAATATAAACATGACAATACATGACTCCGGTTTATCTTAAACTGCTGAAACATGCTTTATATATTTAGAAAGTTTAAAAAGTAATCTCTCCTGAGATACCTAGTTCTACATTTGCTAGTGTGAACAGAACAGCTGGGGATTTGCTAATCTGCAAGAGCAATTCCAGAAATCGAGTGCGTTAGCCTGAACCAACCCGGACATGGCAAACTGTGGCAATTTTTGCAGAACTACTTTGCTGGTTCACAAACATGTTGACCTGAATTTTCTTAAGTGAAAAACAATTTGGGTTGCTTGCCCATCACCTCTGCAGAACGCTCACGGCAGATGAAGGTTTTCATTGTCAGCACAAGAGGCTAATTTTACAGCCCAAACTACTGACAAATGTCCAAGTAAGACCCAGGATGTATTCAGCAGCCCTGTTGGTTTGAGACCACAAGAAATGCAAAACTCTAGTACTCTTGGTTCAGAGATGAGACCTTTTATTAGACCAACTAAGAAATCACAAAAAAAATCTCTCTCTTTCAAGTAAGACCAGGCATTGTGGATGGAAAGTCTCTGGTTATAGTGAAACATCTGTTTCCAAAGGCAGTAAACCACCTACGTGCACAACCAAAGCAGTGTTACCTGCTAGCGCAGAGGCACTCAGACTGGTCAAACCACTGCCTACATTGGTTTAGCTTAAGTCTGTTGGTTACTGAACAGCTCGATGCAAAGAGCTGTACACAAACGCTGTAAGAGTCCATTCCTGGAAACACCTACAGTCTCAACAGACAGGACTGCTGATGGATTTTATATAATGGGATCATAAGTTAGGTAGAGAAAGGTCAAATGACATCCCCTTCCCCCCCACACTGCAGCTACAAAGAGAGTCAATGGCAAAGCCAAGAATTAAACCTAGATCTCTGGACCCCAAAGCCAGTATATGAACCACAAGGCAAACCACGGCAGGGCAAACTACGGAGCCGAACTGTAATGACCAGCCAGGACCCCAAAGGATGCCGGCTAACTTGGGAGGGAGGAGGGGGGTTCTGGTGTTCCTGCAGCTTAGGGAAACAAAGCAGGACAGTCAGACTTTTAGCAAGACACATTTCTCAAAATATAACAGCCAGTTCATCTTTAATCTAAGGAACTGTTTGAGCAACCATGGTAGCAGTTTCTGCAAAATATCCCAGAGGAGCCTTAGAGAATGTGTATCAGCTACTGGAGCCATGCGAATGGTATCTCTTCACTGTGCACAGGATTTGTCATGCTTAGGGCTCACCACTTAAAAATATGAATTAAAACAAAAATCTGCTACCCAGTGGGTTCCACTTTGGCATTTGCTTCTTGCCCCCCAGATCGTTTACTCATCTCTGACACTTCTCAGCTGAGCCATGCACTACAAAAAATTCACTGTTATTTCACAAAACCGCGAAGACAAAAAAAGAATGGGACTCTTTATTATCACAAGGCTGCTAAAGCCTTTTCAGACCAATGTGTGTTTGTGTGGGTCTGCTAAGCGGACCTTAACCACAAGGCACTCTCAGGCCTTGAGTACAATTTACTTGGTAAAGCCATTTCCCCCTGTTGAAGATGCCTCTTGCTGCAGCTTTTCAGACGGCAGGTAAAAGACCCGTCACAAGAAGGTCCCTCCGTGTTTCCCACGTGCAACTAGGAGCTGCTGCGAAAACAAAACAGCGTCTGTCCGGACGAGCGGCAGTGCCAGCGTCAAAGGTGTCACGTTATTTGGCAGACTACCCTGTTTGCTTAGGAAACAAGTTCTGAAGTGGTTTGCATTAACTGAGTTACCAGTTAATCATTTTTAAGTGTTTTATTTTTTTTTTATTTTGGGCACCTAATACTAGCCTTCAAGCCCCTCATTATCCACTTAGATACTTCAGGGGCAATCACAGCACCAGGTTTTTATCTTTGGGAATCAGGGCTCGCAATGGGAAAAAACCCCAAGCAGCTGAAGAAAGAAATCTTTAAAATACAAGCTAATTAAACTGGGGGAAAAAAATGATAGGATGATATTCATTTGTCATCATGGCCAGTCCAGCTTACACTGAATCAAAGTATCTGGCAGACTTTTTGGAGGAAAAGTAGGATCTGTCTGCACGTGCAGCTGTGAGGTTGCAACAGATGGCTTGATCCCTGCAAACTCTGCTCCGCCGGGCAGGTCCGGCGACAAGCATCGCCGCGAGATACTTACGGGTGAAGTTGGTGGTTAAGGCAGTGCTGGGCCTGGCTTCTCCTCGGGAGTTTTCCTCATCCGACTCCCAGCCAGAGGAAGCGGAAGAAGACGAGAACGGGGAGCAGGAGGAGGAGGAGGAGCAGTAGGTGGCGTCATCCTCCAGTTCATCGTACTTCCTTTTCAATACTCCACTCATGGTTACTCTGGACGTTTCATATAACTGCAAAAAGGAAGGGAGAGGGGAAAATGAAGCAAGGGCAACAACAGACACTGGCTGGTTGCTTTGTTTTTGGCTTCTTTTTTCTTTTTTTTTTTTTAACTAGAGGTGCAATTCACCCAGGCAGGGAGCTCCCGAGGCCTGTGCACCTTGCTTTGACGGCTCAGCTGAAATTCAGCAAGGTTGTAACCACCGCTACCTACAGGAGATCAGAGGCAGGCACGCTCAGGTCACCTCCACGTATTCACAGGTTTGCTACTTGCGCAAAAGCGAGGTTATTGCCGCACGGCCCCGACAGGACACGGTTCAATTTCTGCATCCACTAATCCCCCCACCCCACGAAAGCTTTCCCCGGGGCACAGCTGTAAGACACACCAGTTCTCTCGTTTTTGAAACATCCAAGTCTCTCCCACCGGGTAGTTCTCACATCTTGGCCTAATTTACCCTACTTAGAAGTGTGGCAGGCAGTTCTTTTAAGCGTCAACTAAGATGTCCCTTACCCTCCCCGCAAAGGAAAGGCTTCACTTAAAAGCAGCGCCCTAAGTACACACAGACACAAGGACAAGAGATCTTCCCCGCACGCATTCAATCCACCAAAATGTTACTGGACAACAAGTATTTTGTTCTGCGTAGTGAAGCCTGTACGTCCGCTCCCTGCCCAGACCACTTTCTGTGCAGCTTCAGCTCTAACACTGTGCTAATTACAAAAATCAGCCAGTTTGCAGAAAACAATCTGTCGGCGTGATTTACTTGTCTCAGTCTCCTGGGGGAACAGTCGCAGACTTATTAAATGAAGCACTGAAATACAAATATAGGAAATGCAAGAAACATCCTTTGCCATCAGTTTTGCTCACATTCAACCCACTGTCTAATAAACCATTTTTGCTTATTCGGGGCCATATCTCCGACACAGCACCCATTAAAAACAGCAGCTCATTAAAAGCAGGGCGGTTGTCTGGTGCTCTACATTTTGTTCATTCTCTCCCAAAGCTCATCTCACCAAAAGACTCCAAACTTAATTCCTTCATGTTTTTGCAATAACAGTTTCCCGCAGTGAAGAGACGACACACGTTTGCATGATATGCCAACTGAACCATATCACCTACGCTCTTTCCGAGAGCCCCCCGGAGACCAGGCCACAGTTGGCGAGGCCTCTGCTCAGACCAAGGACATCTTCTCCTTTTAAACGCAAGCTGCAATGTGCTAGACGCCTCTCTTTTTATAGAAACTACTCCTGATGTATTTAGGTTTGAAGTGGGTGAGCATGTAACCAGACATCACGACAAGATTATGACTGGAAGAATGATTCGTTTTGATTGATTCAAACCTGCGTGCGAGTGAGCGAGCGTGCAAAAATCACGGGAGGTTGTAAATCATGACAGCCAGGAGCTCTGCAGCTATAAGGCAGAAACTCCCTTGGACCAAAACCAGGTGCAGCTTATACGAGTCACCCACCATTTTGCTGAGGGAGGGATGATGCCGACTCCAGTCACTGGGCTTGGCCCAAGGACGGCTGCTTTTTAGCAAGCGACTTCAGCAGTCTATGAAACGAAGGCTATTCTGAGACCTACTGTCACTGCAGCCTAAGGAGCTGGATCCAGCCAAGCACAGCTGAACAGGCAGCAAAGAAGGGGAGGAAAGCAGAAGGACGCTTGCTGCTTTCTCTTTTCTAGATGCATTACACCGAATCAACATTTTAGGAAGGGCTGAATCACAGTTGAGGACTCAACTGAAAACATCTGGTGAAGGCAGCCGAGCGCTCACCCTGCTGCTGATCAGAGCTGCACAGAGTTTCCTGAAGGTGGGAAAGGGGGAATCTCACAAGTCTGCTCTGTTTATATTCTTAATTTCCAAGCCAGCTACAATAGCACCCTTTAAAGTTACACAAAATCAGAACTCAAGGACCTGGCTGGTATTTATCTGAAACAAACTTGAGATCCTTTGACAAAGCTTTAGCAAGACCAGTGTTACACACTACAGACCTCCTGCTCCTCCTAGCACATCCAGGTTAGGCTTTTGCAGAAAACTAATGTATTCTTTGTGCCAATATTTGTATTATGATCTCTCCCCTTTGCATGTCTGTGTATGTTAATTCTGCCGTAAGAATGTAAAACCTTGTGCCAAGCATGCAAAAATACAGAGATTTCAAAACCTCTTAATGATGGGATTTTAAATATCTCAATAGTGCTGTCTAATAATACTTAGCACTATATAAAGTATGCTTTATATCTTTATAGCTCTGTACAAACACTAATTAACTATGTTTACAGATTTCCTTTAGACAATAGCCTCTAAAAGGTTAAGGAAAAAAAAAGGCTGGATGCAATGGCTCTTTGGTTATAAAGGGAGTTAATCATTTACTACAATGTGGCTGTGTTGAACCCCAGGCAGCCACAAAGGTACCAGGCCAGGCGCTTTCAAATCTGAAGGGAAAGACTGCTCCTTTATTGGGCTTAATAAAGAACATTTTTGCTAACTATATTTTCATGTCAGTGAAAAGGGAACCGTTTCCCCAATCTCTCTTTACAGTGTTTCTCGATAGCACCAGCATGTCAAGACGACAAAAGAAATGCTGCAGGTGGTTTTGCCAGGGTTGTTTTTTTGGCCTTAATCCAAAACAGATGGGAAGAAGGTGGATTTTGATATCTTGCATCAGTAACACCACATGTCCAACCTGGCACCTGGCTTAACCCCTTTTGCTACTTTCCGTTTAGCTCCCCAATGCCATTAGACAAAAATGAAAAAGTCTGAGCTTCCAAAAAAGCAACCTTGGCTGCCAATATAAATGTCCCTTCAGGTTTTGACTCCTGCGTGTACTCCAGGCTCCCTCTTCTTTTCCAAAATGACCAGGAGGTAGGCAGCCTAGAGACCCAATCTTCTCTGCAAAGGGTTTGAAGTCAGGTCTGTGCAGAGACTGGGGTTTTTTCCAGCTCAGTTTAACTACCGTGTTCCAATTATAAAGTTGGAAAATGAGGAGTGGCTGAAATTTTACTTAGCTGCTCCTATTTGAGGGGTTTTTTGGTTTTTTCCCCTTTCAAAGCACAGTGGTTTGAAACCACCCCCAGCTGCATTAAAGGCTAATCTTCCTTTGCTCCCTAGTGCCTCCCTGCTGCCAGGCATCTCATTTGTAAAGCAGACTTGCCCCCGTGTGTACACGGCCTACAGGAACAAGTTACACCGCTACCAGACTCAACCCCAACACGCAGACTTCAGGCTACATGACTTAGCAAGGGATCCCACGCTTGAACAGGGGGATGAAAGTCACCCTCTCCGCGCTCTCCGGAGCCGTCCCAGGGACTATCGTGATGGACATCAAACAGCAGACACCATCATTCTTGTTGCAAAAGGACTGGCCGAGGCAGTAAAACCCAAGCCGAACAAGCCCACGCAATTTTGACTACCTGCCTTCAACTGATATAGGTATTAGAGAAGTAGTCAAGGTCACCCTACAAAACTAAAGATAAAGTGGGGGAAAAATAATCCTTTCTTGTCAAGCTCTCTTACTGCCAGAGACATTTTTTTTTCCAGAACAATGTAAACCACTGCTTTATAAGAGTTATTACCTTCGAAATTTCTGCTCACAGGCCACCTACAGTGCAGTCAGCCACAACCAACCGTCTTCCATGGTCTAACCAACAGCCAAAGTCTGGCCAAGGCGCTGCCTCTGCACCTCCAGCCCCTGCCCCTTCTCCCCCCCCCC